TATAAGCTGGGCCAAGTTATTGGGCCTATTCTATTAGCAAAGCATACTAGCCTTATACTAGTTTCAGCGTACGCATATTGCCTGTGTACCCCATCTCAATGAGTAATTTTTTAAAATAAAATACGTAAATATATTATTAAATAATGTACTGAATTTATAAATGAATATTTAAGAATATAATTTTTTGAAAAATGATAAACATTAATCTTATTTAGCTAGATCAATATCAATAAAGAAAAAAAAAATATAAGTATAATTATTTTATTTTCTTATTGTGATTAAGCCGTACCACCAATCCCACCCTTCCTTTCTGAAAGTTTCTTTCATTATCATTTATAATATATCATGACTTAATTTATTTTTATTTTTTTTGGTTAAAATATCAAATTTTATTTAACCAAGTATAATATTTACATCGCACTAGCTCGTGTGGACTCTAGAGCTAGATCCTGTACATCATCTCTACTAAAAATACTGATCAAGGATCAAATATCCAAAAACTGATCAAAACAAAAACATTTGTTCCGCTAATAGTACCTAGCTTCTAATTTCAGAACTTTGACTTAACTAGCTAGGATAACTACTTAGCCTTTCTAATTCCTTTTTCCATTTAGCTTCTGTCTACCCTCGAATGTGTAGATCCATTACAATCTCTTTAGTTCTCTTGCTGTATGTTGTCTCTTTCCCTTGAAATCTTCTATTGTTTCTCCTCAACCAATACATGGTATACCACTGCTGCAAATAAGAATACTAATATCTCTCCCTTGACTCTGTTTGCAGCTCTTTTTGTTATCCAATCGATCTCCTCATCCCAGCTTCCTATCTAGTGTTTTATTCCTGTCCATTGCAACAATTTAGCCCATAGGATTCTGGAGTACTCACATTCAAACAGCAAATGCTCTCTTGTTTCCTCAATGTTCTTTTGACACAGTACACACTCTTTTGACACTGAAATCCCCCATTTCTGTAGTCCTACTATTGTGGCTAACCTTCTGTGTAATGCCAACCAAAGAATGAACTGGTGCTTAGGCAGTGCTTTAGATGCTATCGTTAGTCTTTTCTAGGGACACTTCTGATATTGAGGTCTTGGTGCAATGTATAACTTCATGATGTTGAATTTTCCCTTCTTGCAATGGCTATTCAGATCATCAGTGGGAGTGTTTTGACTGAACCAATCCCTAGCATCAAATATCTTCCTTATAAGCCAACAGGCTTGCTTTGGAGCACTCATGTTCTCAACACTTCTGTTCTTTGCATAGAAGCTATGAATTCATTGAATCCATAAAGTATTCTTCTTTGTAGTTATAGCCCATAGTAACTTGCATAATGCAGCCTTGTTCCAGCAATAGATATCCAGAATATTAAGCCCACCTGCTGACACTAGCATACATATGGTTTCCCAAGCTATCAAGGCCCTCCTAAATGGTTCATTACTTCCAGTACATAGGAAGGTTCTACATGATGTGACTATCATCTTGATGATCTTCTTAGGTAGTAGAAACACCTGTGCCCAGTATGTTTGCATTTCAAAAACCACACTTTTGAGTAGCTGGAGTCTCCCACTATAAGATAGTGTTGTCCAACAATTGATTCTTGTAGTGATCTTTTCAATCAGTGGCATCCATTGCTGAACAGACAACTTCTTAGAGGACAGTGGCACTCCTAGGTACTTGAATGGTAGTTCTCATAAAGTGAATTGCATTTCCTCTATTATCTGCTCTTTAAATTCTCTAGGTACCCCATCAATATACAATGCACTCTTTTTCATGTTAGCCTTGAGCCCTGAAACCTCAATGGAGTGAGTGAATCTTTCCAGTAGCAAAGTTATTAAAATCTTGTCTGCTCTACAGCATAGGATCAAATCACCAGCAAAACAAATGTGTGTTATATGATTTCTGGAACATCTTGGGTGATAGTTAAAATCTGGATCTTGTTTCAACTTCTTTAACGACCTATTTAGATATTCCATCACCAATACAAACAAGTAAGGAGACATGGGGTCTCCTTGTCTTAACCCCTTTATTGCTTGGAACTTATCTGTTAGTCCCCCATTCAATAACAAGGAATAGCTGACTGTTGTCACACACTCCATTATCAACTGTAAAAACCTCATAGGCATTCCAAACTCAAGCAGTATCATCCTTAAAAAAGGCCACTCTACTGAGTCATAAGCTTTCCTTATATCTATTTTAATGCAACATCTTGGTGAGACCCCTTTCTGAGTGTATCTTTTGACCAATTCATGTGCAATAATGACATTATCCAGTATGTTCCTCCCTTCTATAAATGCTGATTGAGCAGGTCCCACAACAGAGTCCACTACCAACTTCAACTTGGCTATAATGATCTTTGATATAAGCTTGTACAGGGTAACATGCTATAGGTCTGAATTTCTTGACAGATCTTGGGCTTGCAACCTTTGGTACCAAAGTTATTGTGGTACAATTTACACTTCTCAGCATTTTTCCATTGGTAAAAAACTCTTGAATAGCCTTTTTAACCTCTACTCCAATTATATTCCAGTAGGTCTTGAAAAATTTCGCTGGAAGTCCATCTATTCCTCGGGCCTTATCGTTTGGCAATTCTTTAAGAGCTTTATCAATTTCCTCCTCTGTTACTTGTGCATTGAGAAGTTGTTGTTGCTCCTTAGTAAGACAGTGACCTTCTCTAGCTATTTCAATATCAATACAAGGTAATTCATTAGCTGATGTGCCCAAGAGTGTTTGGAAGAATCCTCTAAACCCTTGTTCTATCAGAACATGATCAGTCATTTTTTCCCCTTGGTCATTGTATATGGCTGAAATTTTATTCCTCGATTGTCTGGACTTCAAATGAGCATGAAAGAATTTGGAATTTTGATCCCCTACCTGTATCCACATTGCTCTGGGTCTTTGCCTCAAAACTTGTTCATTAACTCCTTCCCATTTTTCAATCTACATTAACAGCTCCTTTTCTTTAGCTATTAATTGACTGTTGAATGGGTCTTCATCAATTTCTCCTTGAACATTCTTCAATTGTTCCCTGATCTGGCCAATCTTTTTCTCTAATGAAGTCATTTCTTTATTCATGTGCTTTGTCTTATCCATTAACCTTTGCAATTTCTTCCAAATTGAGAACATAGTGTATCCCTGAATGCTTTGCTTCCATACCTCATTAACAGCTTCTTCAAACTCCTTCTGATTGAGCAGCACATTATATAATTTGAATGGTTTTGGCAAATGATTTCTAGTTACCTCAGTGTTGATAATGATAGGAGAATGATCGGAGACTCCTGGCGATTCAAAAACTGCTTCAAGACTACTATAGTGAGTTAGCCAGGAAGTATTCCCAAATGCCCAGTCAATATTACTATATATTCTATCTTCTACATCTCTTTTATTATACCATGACCACTGACACCCTTTTCTGTTCAATTGCCCCATTCCAATATCCCTTAGACATTCTTGAAATTCCACCATTTCAGCTTTATGTACTGGTTGACAATTGAGTCGATCATGAACAGATAAAACATTGTTGAAGTCTCCAATAACTAGCCAAGCCTCCTGCATAGTGCTATGAATTTGTCTTAGCTGCTCCCATAATTCCCTTCTTTCATTGAGTTTGTTCTTCCCATAAATAAATGTGATGTAGCCTGAGAAGCTTGATCCCTTATCCTTCACTTGGCAATGTAACAATTGAGGAGTAGCACCAATAATATGTACATGTACCATATTGTCCTTCCAAAATAGCCAGATTCTCCCATTGTTTGTCATAGCTTCATCTGAATACACTTTCCAGTCCTTACTAAACTTCCTTTTCACTTTATTAAGACTTCTAGGTTTTATTCTTGTCTCAAGGCATCCTAGTAAAGATATTCTGTGTTTAAGCAAAAAGGCCTTGAGTTCTTTTTGCTTATAGGGCTTATTTAGCCCCCTTATGTTCTAAGAGTTAAAGATCATGGTGGATTCTCCTCATTGAGGCTAATCCCTTCAGTCACCCTTCCAGTGCTGCTATCCTCTTGTATTGACAGTGGACTATATCTATTTCTGTTCAGCATATTCACAAATTCTTTCTCAGTTAATGCTCCCTTCTGCTGTGTAATTTCTTTAGCTTTCTTCTGTTTACCTCTGGACTTCTGAACTGGTTGCATCTCCATTTTCTGGTCAATCATTTCTCTGGATTGACCTGTTGTTCATGTACTAGCTTAGGAATCTGCTCCTTCTGTATTGGTGGTTTCTCACTCAGTCGACCATCCTCTTGTTCCTGTATTTGTTCATTACTTTGTTCCTTCTGCACTGGTACTTGCTCAGCAACAGGCTTTGCCCTCCATTGCTTTTTGATCTGATTCTTAAACTCTTTCCCCTGCCTTTGTTTCTGTTTTCCAGTCTTTTCCACATAGCCATCACTTGTCTTCGTCTTTACTACCTTCCCGCATTTGTGATCATGATGCCCTATTTGACAACATTCCTCACAAAAAGCAGGTTTCCATTCATATTCTAGTGATTGTTCTCTGTTGTGACCATCCTCTTCCTCCATGAGCATTGTATTAGGTAATTCTTGTGATACATCCATCCCCACCAGCATACGTGCGTAGGACACCCTTTCCCCTTCAGCTGTAAGTCTGTCTGAGCATATAGGTTTTCCTAAGTAGCACTACAAGAAAAACTGTCATTAGCGACAGGAAAACTGGTCCCTAAAAGTGTGATTTTGGTCCTTGAAGGTCAATAACGACCAGTAAAATCTGGTCGTCACCCGTCGCTAGAGGCTCCGACGCTAAAGGCCAATAACGACGAGTTTGAGGAGCTGGTCCTTAAAGAGTTTTAACGACAAGAAATTTTCTAGTCCCTAAAACACTTTTAGAGACCACAAATCCGGTCCTTAAGCACTTTTATTTTGGTCCCTAAGCATAGAACAAATTGTTGCCTTCAATATTTAGCAACCAGTTCTACTGGTCCTTAAAGAGTCTTTTCCAGTCATTTTTTTTAATTATATTATTTTTATTGTAGAAAATCACATATACATAACAAAAATATCAATAACATCATGCTTTCATAAACAAATATACAAATGTACATGTACAAAAAAGGGTATTACATCTCACTGGTAATTGTATAACCGTGATGCATATGTCATGGTGCTGTTTACACAATCTTTTAGCAAAAATAACTTTTTTCCTAACTACACTGCATGAAGTCTTCAAAACTTGTATCTTGACTTGTAAGTTCAACTCTTCAAACCCTGTAAAAAATAAAAAGAAAATTTCTTTTAGAAAATTATGAAGATCATATTAAGTATCTGAAAGATAACAACAATGAGAGGAACACCTGAATATTGCATACTTTCCTCTCTTTCAAAGCATGTCATTTTCATATATAGTCCAATTGCACTTTTCAAATACAAGATTAATGTATAAAAAACCTATCCATATTTACGAAACACATTATCCGAGTAATAATACCTTCACAAGTTTCAATAATGTACACCCCTACAACCAATATGCAGTGAATCATATATTTCCCTCCGTGAGACAATTAATCTGGAAGTAGCTAAATATAGTTTAGATCTTGAAAATTAGTTTGTGCTCAACACATAAGTTATAAGCCAGCACATACTGTATACAAAAGTTTACTAAAGCACAACCTCATGGCCACTGATAGTTACTAAACACACTCAAACAACTCAAGGAAAGATTTCTTTATTTGCCATTTCAAGAATATGAATATAGGAAAGAGTAAAACTACTGTTAACCTTATATGTCTCCATATATGTCTTCGTTCAAATAAAATAGTTATTGTCTATAGCTAACATCAACCATAACCTAAGAACACCAATGGAAGATGTTCCTTAAGAAGTATTTATTTGAAAAGATCAAAGTAGATGGTGAGAATTACAGTAAAAACTTTTATTTACATGCCATACATATTGATACTCCCACAGAAGCTTGACAAAAAAAAAACGTCATGAAAGTTTCATTCACAACCCATCTCAGGATCATAGTAGATACCTTATCAAATTGGACACATGGGCTAGGATAACTGTGTGAGATAATTATACCAGGCTATTATTTGGTACAAGGACGAATAATGAGAATTGAATGAACCAATAAATAAATTATACTCATAACAGAACTACAACAAATGATGAGAATAATTCTATTCCTCTAATTTAAAGACAGATCCATTTCAATGACCAAGGTGAACAAATATCTGAAGATAATAACAACTTTTAGTTAAAGTAAGATGCAAATGTCCTTCTTGAAATATTTTTAACTACACCACCCAGCCTCTTTCCTTCCTATTATTTACTTCCTGAAGTTGAACTAAGATGCAATTGCCTTGAAATTTTAAAATTTTGGTAACATTTGTTCCTTGTTGTATTTTTTACTGTGACAAGCTTAAATGAAGCGTCATGGACAGTTTACAATGCTCAAAACAACCAACATATTCTCAAAACAATAAGAACACACACAAATATTAAGATATATGAAGCATTAGAGTTAAATTTCATAAATCAATCAACCATGAAGGTATTCCCTAACAACATTTATCGAATTAAATTTGGGTTTAACATTGTTTTCTAATTCAATTACAACAAGCAGAGAGATAATGAGATTGACAAAATTAAGATGTTTGTGAGCTAAAAGAATGACCTCGTGTGTAATCTGATGTTGACCTCTTTGTATAATCAACATATGAAGAGGAATTCTGAATACTTCAAACCACGGTTAATAAAAAACATATTATAAATACGCAGTGTGTGAAGATTGCAACATACTATATATAGCTAATAGAAAATGCAGTGGAGTAATTTATTGCTATGTTGAATTTTCTATTCTCTCATCTCACTCTGTTTCATCTCCTTCTATCTTCTATCTATCAGTTGGTTTTCATTATTGTTCAATTGCAATTTCCCTTATTAGTATATTGTAATTCAGTTGAGTAACTTTAATACAATCAGCCAGTTTTATTATTAAGTGAGTTATTAATTAGCTTGTTTTATAATTCTAATACCCTATTGTACATGTTTAAGACCTAGTTACTGTGAAAAATTCAGCAATACTGAAGCAGTAATAGCACAACCACAAAATATATGATCCATAGTTTCCTCACAAGTCTAACACAAGATCATTAGAAGGCAAAACAAAATCCAAAGGATTTGCTCTTATCATCTGTAAACAGCTTTCTTTGTAACAAATTCCACATTAGAGAGAACAGTTTAAATAGATGAGGCTTCATCAAAGGCATTTTATTCATAAGAGATAGATTTTGATGCTATTTAATGAGGTTCCATGCATTTAAGCAAATGATTTTTCTTATAAGTATACCAATCCAAACAACCTACCACCTATCTTAATTGGAAAAATTCTAGGAACAGAGTGAGACAACTTCAACAAGTGACACCGTAACATTACATATCTACATTTATCTTTCCTTTCCTAATACAACATATCACATTTGGGTTAAAGATATCTTTTTTGTTTTTTTTAATTCTGGAATAATAAAAAGATAAACTTTTTTGACTATATAACATCTAATTTAATCAACTTTCAGTAATTTTTTTCTCATTTTTTGAGGATGCGCACTCACAATCCCAAAAATACAAGTGTTTACTGTTGCATTCAAAGGGACATCTCAACAGAGAAAAACTTCTACTACCTACATTTCTTTCTTCTCACGAACAGAACAACTAAGGAAGATTTTTTCATTCCCTCATCATCCTTCCTCTACACCTTAACTTTAAACCTAACCCTAGCCACCATCCTCACATCTCAATACTCCCACTTTAAGCCCTACACCACAACAATTAATATTCAACAAAATCCACACAAAATATTATCATTCTCTACAATTAATATTCACTAAACAGAAATTTCTAGTCTTCAACCAACAAGAGAAGAAAAGTGACAAACCTGTTCAGATTGATAACTATTTTCATTGTCGGTTTGTGAGTCTTCACCCAGTTCAAATAGACTTCACGTGAGTCTTCAACCTTAGAGAGATAAATTTGAGAGAGTTAATTTTTAAGGATTTCTCATGCTTTCAGATTAAAAACCACATAGAGAGGATCGGGTTTTGTTTTGGGGAAAATACGATAGAAAGAGTGGGGAAGGGGGTTGGGGGGAGGGTTAATTAATTTGAGTCTTTTTTTTCAACTAATAAATAAAAGTAGTTTTTATATTGGCGCGGTGGCCCTTTTACTCCCCGCTTAACTTAGCTTATTAGGGACGGGCTATTTATCTTTTCAATTAATTTAGCAAATAAAAAGAGAAAGGGACCAGTCAAAAACCTTGTCCCTATAGGCACACTTTTAGGACCATATTTTTGCCCGGTCGTTAGGTGTTGGTCGCTAATAAAACTTTTTCTTGTAGTGTAGCTGGCTATCCTGGGAATATGACCCATATTGGTATTGTTCGAGTCAGTTCTTTACTCATATGAAAATTTGGTTCTCATTGCTTCAAAATCACGGGTCTATTATGGTATGTATATGGGCCTTGCTGTATAAGAGTGTTCTTATCTTCTTCAGAATTAAATCGAAAAATGAAATACCCATTGTCATGTAAAAACACTTGAGGTGCAGTGATAAAACTCCACACCCCATACACAAACTTTAGCATATCTTTAAAAGAGGGATTTCCACCCAAAACATACCCAATTAACGCTTTCTTCCATTTTTGGGTTTGCTCTGCTACCTCAGCTCGATCCAATCGAACAATCTTCACTCCTTCCTTCATTACTGGTGGATAGTACTCCAATTTTATCACCTGTTGCAAAGCTCTACTTCCTTTTACCACATCAGCTAGAGTCGGTTCGGATTGAGTAGTTTTTGCTCGTTGTACTGAGAAATTCAACTTCCTCGCTGCAGTATTAGCATCTACCTCTACTGATTTCTCTTCATCGATACATTTCGAAGCTTGCATGATCGTTGGTGCACTTCCCATCCCAGTCATCCAGTGGACCAGCTGCATCTGACCTATCATTTGTGGCACTCCTGATTCCGGTGTTACCATTCTACCTCCGTCGTCCTCTTCCGGTATTGTAGGCGGTGCAATTTATTGAGATTTCCGTCGGACCATCGTCGTTGTGCGTACGTTAGCTTTCCCTGCTTAACGTGCGCCTTCAGAGCTCAGGCCATCTTTTTCCTTTGGGAACAACCCATGACTTAATTTATTAATTAATGTATGAAAGTAGAATATCTAAATTAATCTTAATAATCTATTGCACATTAATTAGAAAATTTAGACAAGGTTAAGATTATATTTTAAAAGGGCCTGAGATAAAATTTTAAAGGTCTGTCACTTTGACAACCAATTTAGTTGTTTGTTAATTTGGATGAACTATCTATCTATATCTATATCTATCTATCTATATTATAATTTATATTTATATCTATCTATATCAATATCTATCTATACTATATTAAAAGCACGAATACCCTTAGCGAAATGTCGTTTGCCTTTTTTGTCCTTTAAAAATAGAGTTCACACTGAGCAAAATAGTCATTTGACTATTTTCTTAATATTTAGGAATATTTATTTAATTAATTACCAAATATTTAGGAATAGTCAATTAATTAATTTTCTAATATTTAGAGCTTTAATTGTTCAATTTCTTTCCATATTAGGATTTCAAGGACGTCCAATTCACACTAGAAAAATTTAAATCTTAGAGAATTAATTTAATTTTTCAATTCCTTCCGCAGGAAAGATTAGTTCTTCTTCACCAACAAAACTTTCGTTTGATTTCAAATCCCTTCGGTTGGAAAGTTTCATTCTTTTTCAATTTCTTCACGAGTAAGGTTTTTACTTTGAACTTTATTTAGATTTATGAGTATTAAATTTACACTTGGAAAGTTTTAACCAATATATACTTCTTTTATGTTTAGGAAGAATTTTTTAGTTAATAAAATTTTGACAAATTAACTTTTTACAAATGTATTAGGTAAAAAATGACACTTTGAACTCCTTTTTGGTTTAAAAGTCTGTTTTTTTAACATAATTTTTTTTGTCTGTTGAACTATACACAATCTTATCTTATATAAATTCTTTATGGTTTGAAATTGTAAAAGACCGAGAAGATTCAATACCATGCTAATATGTTTCCGTTACTGTTACTGATAATAGGTGAATTTGACTATAATCACGCACCAAATAATCACCTTCTTGTGAACTTTTAATGTGGAAAATGACAACAAAATGCTCTTATTAGTGCTTTACATGATTTGCAGGTGATATAGGTGTAAGGAAGGCTAAGGAGCGGTTTTGGAGTCAACTATTGATGAAAAGAGGCTAATTGTTGAATTTCCCAAGTAGCCCATTCAAAACAGGCCAAAATGCCCGGGTACAAGTTCCACCGCGATTCTACCGCGACCGCGGTGAAACCGCGGTGGAAGGCAGTCTCTGAAGGTTGAAGATTCCGCGAAGGCGTTTGACCGCGGTTCTACCGCGACCGCGGTAGAACCGCGGTGGGCACAGTAAACTTCGGGGACTTAAGTGTAAAACACGGGATTTTTAGACCTAAACCCTATTTCAAACGCTAGACTTCGCCCAAGAGAGGCATGTATTGATTTCTAAGGGTTCTTAGCAAGAAAAACAATTGTGAGAAAGTACTCTAAACATCTTTCTTCTTTTCTTTTGATTTTATGATGAATTCAAGCTTAGTTTATTCTCCCATAGTCATGAGTAGCTAAATTCCTTGTCTAAGGCTTTGATGGAACCTATTGGGTGATGAACTTCTTGTTTATGTGAATACAAATTGCTAGTTAAATCTTTAGTTGTTCAACTTCATGTTCGTTGTAGTTAATTGACAGGATCCTCAATTAGCTGTGCCTATTTAGTGTGCATAACTTGGAAAAGAGTGCATATTTAGGGTATTGTTGAACAACACCACTCCTAGATTATTAGAGGAATCTATAATTGCGGGTGTAAAGGCGGGATTAGGAATAACGAAGCCTTGGGTGCAATTTAAATTGAATTGTGCGAAATTAAGCAAGCTAGTGTATCTCGGGAGAGTGCAATAGTAGATTACTGTGATTACTCGGGAGAGATTTGCGGTAAGATTAGCGTTCATGATTGATAGAGATGTGTGGGTAAATTTGTATGAGCATAAACAGAAGGGATTCCATCAATAGGGGAAATCATTGCCTTAGCTTTTTCTCATAATTGTTTACAACCCTTCTAATTTAGTTATAGCCTTTTATTTACTTGCAAG